CTGTTTGCTTTATTTACACATTTAGTGATCTTTTATCTCTACATTTTTATCTGTCCACTGTGGATTAATCCATATTAGCAGATATCAAAAGATTTTGTGTTTACCTTGTTTCTGGTCTTTGGTGGTAGCAGTGAAGTATTGGTTGACCTGTGCTGGCCCATTGTGTTCAATCTCACATGGCATGAGGTGGACTGGAGCTTGGGGTGCCTGTCCCACTGATGATGCACAAAGTCGAATAACACTGGAATTACAGGACATCCTGCAGCCAGGAGACAGAAGAAAAAAGAAAGTACATTTTTAGTTTTTAATTTAACCTCAGTCTCTTTTATCAAACACAGTCACAGACTACAAAAAAAGGAAAAAAAATTGTATGTGAGACAAACTGAGCCACAAAGTTCAGCCTTTAATCTGAGTGTTTTTCTGCAATTAAAATGATTTTTCAACTGCAGATGTCACTTTAGGTTCACAATAGTAGGTTTTTTGAGCTCTTATGTCCAGCAAACTAGTGTACTCAAAAATAAAACAAACAATGAATCATCTGCAATTGATTCAGAACTCATGGTGACTTTAATGTTACTCCACCTGTTTACAGCTTTTTCTGTTGTTCTGCTAGCCTACTTGTCTGATTGTCTGTCAACCATAACTATCTGTCAGAACTTCAGCTATGTAATCCATGCATCACAGCACAGAATGAAACTTTTTGGTGGACAGCTTTCAGTCTGCCTGAGTATCTGAGAGCAGCCAAAAGTAATACTTACTTTAAAGCAATATTTACAATAAGCAATAATTTTTTTTGGCTTTCGATGAGAATAGTTATTTGTTGATCTCCATTTTTCATACACAGAATACGACATACTCAAAGTGAGCACATGCATGTTTTCCAAAGAATCCCAGAGAAAAAAAATAATTCCTATTAAATACCATACAACATGCAATAAATGTCTTACATTTATTTAAAAGACATATATCTCCACCCTTACCTTTCTGCAGTTTTCCAAACGTGAAACGTTAAACTGGATCTTTTCCGGTAAACAACAAACAGAGCTTGTGATTGGACAAAACCTTCTTCTTCTACGCCAGAAGATATTTTGGCGGGTATTTTCTGCTCAGCCCCAGAATAGCGCCTCTTCCCGGTGAAGCTCGATCACAACGATTTTCCAAGGCTTGTAGCTTTTGTGTTTTCGCCCTCGAACTGTGAATCACACTCGCACCTCTAGATATGAGGTAGTTAGCCGTATCCTTTTTATTTATTTATTTATCTATTTGGTGGGGGGTTAAACACCTGTCTTTGTAATTTGGCTTTCTATTTGAAGTGAAATTAGCGGCCAACTCAATTGCTTCGATTTTAAAGGTTTAATTAAAAAAAAAAAACACGTTAATTCCCAGTTTTCATATAAGTATTTGTATTTTATTATGTACGTATATATACATATATTATATGTCTGCATAATATCATATATAACATAATAAAGTAATTATTACATAATTATTAACATACATAAATACATTTTGAGTAGCACATAAGTAGCACATAACAAGTACTTACCCTTACTTAAGTAAGAGATCTCAGTGTTTCATTTAATGATTATTTATATATATATGTGTGTGTGTGTGTGTGTGTGTGTTGTGTGTGTGTGTGTGTGTTCATCAGTGTTCATTTCAACACTGTAAAACAGTGTTGAAATGAACTAACAGATAAAGAGGAAGACAGGAGTGTAGCTCTCTGAACGTTCCTAACAGGAGAGGAACAAGATGTGAAATAAAACTAATACAAATACAAATAAAACTAATACAAACTGATACAGAGGCTGTTGGAAACATGAACACTAACACTTAACTGGATATCAGAGGCAAAGGAACAAAAGGGGGAACAAGGCATTAAAACAGAAAATAGACAGATGGTGATACAAATAGAAACACTGGGGAGACTATTATCACTACCAGTAATAATGCTATTAAAAAAATACATGAAGCAGAACACAAGATAACACAAAACTGAAACAAAAAACCCCCGGGGACGATGGACCACGAGATAAAACAAAATAGATCAACAATAAATGATCAGTTCAGCAAACAGTTTGATATGATTATCAGTTTCTGCTGGACATAAAACCAATACACAGTTCAGAATACTAGACCTCATGCAGCATTAGATCATGAGTTAGCATTTGTTACGCTATGGATTCAAACACTGAATATGGACAAATATGTTAGTTTTTAGGCATTATTTCAAGTACCATCACTAAATAATCTCACATGTCATAGTACACTTTGAAATGTCTCGTACATTCGGAGTATTTTGATGACGTGTGTCGCAGTGTTACTGAAGTCTTGTTCAGTTCTGAGAACTCTGCTACAGTTGGCAGCAGCATCTGTCTTAGTGTGGGATGGACTAAATCCTGTCCAATGTGAGTCCGAGAGCCACTAAGGAGAAGTTTCCTGGGGGAGTTTTTGCTCATATTGCATAAAATCTGTGTCAAGCCTCCACTGAGGGGACTTCAGGGGAAGAAGAAGACGTTTCCTAACTGCTCACGATTAGCCAGCGCAAGCAAGAGGTGAGTTTTTATAGCAGGACAGATAACTGTTGCAGGTATGTTGTATGGGATCCCACTTTTTTCTTGAATGCTTTATCAGGATGTGAAGAGAAAGTCTCAACTCCCTTCTTCTTTTATGATTTACAGTGTTGTGTAAAATTCTTGAGCTACCCTTCATTTATATTGAACTTCCAAGGAGCCAATCATTCTTTTCTGGAGGTTTTTCTTAGTTTTTCAGTTCAGTCTTTGTACCTGACCATTTTCAGAGGAATATTACTTTTTTATTGATCCACTTAACACTGACATATAAATCATTCAAGCATAAAACACATAAGAGACAGCTTAGCAAAGAACTACTTTAAATCATATTTTTAGGCACAACCTACATAAAAACACATATTTTGATACAAATTTTTTAGTTGAATCTATAAAAATGTCAAAGATAACAGTTCCATAGACATTCTTTTTATTTTTTATTTTTTTGCAACAACAAAGGGATTTTTAAAGAGCTGTTAGCTAAAAGCTTGCCATATCTCATCATGGTGTGCAGTGTCTCCTTAAAAATTTGAGGAAACTGAACAATTAGAGGACAAAAGAAGAAATGTCATTCCTAAAAAATAAAACTACAGTGGATCTGAGAGAAAAAGCCATTTTTAAGGAAAGGAAATATTGGGAACATGCTGAGGAATGCCAAATTACACAAGAACTAGGCTAAACAGTGTGTACAGCCATCTGTAAATCACAGTGGAGGCTCTATCATGGTTTGGGCTGCATGTCAGTCAGTGGTTTTGGAGATCTTATCAAAATTGATGAAATTATGAACACAGAAAAGTACCATCAGACTTTGATTCACCGCTGAATATTATCAGTCTGGCAGTTGACTGCTGACACCGTTTGAAGTCATCTGATATGAAAGAACTCTGCATGTGACTGTGATTGGACTCAGCGGTTTTGCAGATCTCGGTAACATGAATGTGAAGGCTTGTGCCAAAACATCATAACATCACCAGCCACACTGATGTGTGTCTATATTTCAGGAAAATGTGAAGCAGATGACGTCTCAGATAACACTGAAACATTTTCAGACTCACAAATGTGGATCTTAACCTGCTTTAGCTGAGTCCATATGAGTCCTTATTTCCATAAAATAACCTTTATCGATGTGTTTTATTAACCTTCACTGCTTGTTTGGTTTTTAGATTTAATGGAGCGACATAGCAACTTGCTTTCACAAGGCGATGCAGAACCATCAGTCCTTATTGGTTGGATGCTGGTGAAGCTCCAGTACGCTGTATTCATTGCGATGTCACGGGCCCGGCAGAGACTCGTACAGCTCTCAATTGTGTTCTCATTTGTCTTCCTCATCCTGTGGATCGCTGCATTTCTGTACGGGACTTTCTACTACTCTTACATGCCCCAGGCGACTTTTTCTGCACCTGTGAACTACTACTACAGGTGTGTATGTCAAGTCCCATCCAGCTTCTGTTTCTGTGGTCCATTCTTTCTCATTTATTCATGTTTTAATCTCCAGGACAGACTGTGAATCTCCAGCTTCGTTTTTGTGCTCTTACCCTATGGCCAACATCTCTCTGATCAGAAATAAAAAACATGTAAGTTCATCAGTTTACTCCATGCAGGGGACTTATTAGGCTTTTCTTTAGAGGAAGAAAGTGGTCCTTAATGGGGAGCGGAGTGGGGAGGAACAAAAAAGGGCTTGTTTCAGACAGTGAATTAATTTTAAACAGTGAATCATGCAAAGCCTCACTAGTAGACTCTAAAAATAAAAATAAATGGCTGGAAATAAGCATAATTGTTCCCCTATAGACATTCATTCATATTATATATATGTATATATTTATATGCATTCCAAGAATACTCATATGTTTTTTTGTAATATATATGGAGGTGCTGACATTCGGCCAGCCCTATCGGATGTCTTTGCAGCTGGAGATGCCGGATTCCCCAACCAATCGGGAGCTGGGGATGTTTATGATTAAAACAACCTGTTTCTCTCAGGATGGAGAGCAAGTGGCCTCCTCCGCTCGCTCTGTAAGCTGCACTCATACTCACTCAGCACCAGCGCGTCTACATGCAATCATATAGTGTATTTTTAACAGCTACTCCAGTGATTCACTGCTGCACTGCTGTGTGTTTCTCAGGGAAAACATCAGCTGTCTGCCTCCAGCTCTCGCTTTGTGAGTACAGTGCTGACGCATGCTAACCCTTTTAATCACACAGCCTGCTCAGAGCCAGATTAGAGCTGCTTATGGCAGGTCTTCCGCTGTGTCAGGTCATCCCACTGCTAAGGTTAATGAGATGACAGGACAAAGATGTGACATGACAGCTTAGAAATACAAGATGAATATGTGACATGGACTGTTTGATTCAGCACCGATACTCAAACTCTAAAGCTTTTTTTTTTAATTTAACAGAAATAAATTATATGAGTTTTGTTTTAATTGTTTACACATCTCCATACTTTTTAGATGCATGTGTCTAATTTACAAAAAACCCTGGTAAGTTAATCCACAACCACCATGAACAGCCTATTGGTTCATGGGTGTAGTATAAACTCATGAGTGTCTGAGCCTGCATCTGTAATCCTTTCTTTAAATTTCATCACTAAAGACCTTTTTTTTCACATTTGTAACAAAAGAGCAAAATGAATTCATCCCAGAGTCTGGATAATAATATGTGCACTGTAAGTGAAAGATATTGTGCTGTGCTGTTGTGGTCAGAGCATACTGCGATACCGCTCAGACCTGCTGAGGACGCTGGGAACGCTGCTGTTCCTCCCGGCCTTTTTGACCGGAGCAGCCGAGCAGAAACAAGTGCTGGAGGTGGAGCTCTTCTCAGACTTCACAGACAACCCAGTGAGTCCTGCATATATAGATGTCAGATAAAAAGGGAGTAGGGAGCAATAAGCAGGACAGGGATACAGGGGAACACATGTTAATATGGAAACAGCAGGTCAATATTTAACTGACACCTAATTAACAAGTTTATTTTCCCTCTCTGTTCAGTATGCTCCCTCAGTCACGGCTGTCATCGAGATCATGTCCAGCAGGGTGCAGATATATTCATCTGACCTCTACATTCATGCTCATTTCACTGGCATTAGGTGAGAATTACCCACATAATGCACACATTTGCTTGAAAAAAGAAGAACATGTGTAACGTTTAACCCTCCTCCAGGCCCCTCTGTGTACTCAGATTGCAGGGTTCTCTTCACAGTCTAAAGCTATTTGATGACTGTGATGTATCCAAACTATCATATGGAGCACAATTTTAGAAAATTGCTTCGACCAGAAGGAATCATACCCAGATTACCCTGGTACTGAAATGTAGGCAAAAAGGAGAGCTTTCACGTGCTGCGATTTCTGGCACAGAAATACTGTGTATAAAAGAAGTTTTCGATCCATTCATGTGTACCTCGAGGGCTTTCTTCCAGGAAAATGTTTGTAGTATGAAGGCAAAATTTTGAATGGCTCATTAAATACACTGAAGTTATTGTACCAAAAAAAAAAACCCAGCTGACTCAGAGCGCTTCAGCTAGAACTTTTCAAAGTTTGATTATTTATGAATTATAAATTTTTGTTTTGTTTTTTTTCCTGTGACCAACTGTCAGAATATGGCATTTTGTGAGATTTTCCTCAAAATCATGGGTTGGTTACTTGACAGAGATATAACAATGATAAGCCAAGGTACCAGTGGCTCTGCTTTCACTCATGGTTTATGAGGAATGAAGCAGAACTTACATTCAGCTCAATAACGCCACAATAAATGGAATAGAAATATGATGTGGACGTGAAAGAGACACACATTTCTCAGAAGTGGCTCTGAAAAACTTGAATTCAGGTAGCAGTGATCCTCATCTTTGTTAATCAGCTGCCAAAATCAATGACCCCAGGTCCCGACACTGTGTAGACTTTGGCCCAGTCCCAGTGACCACACTCAGAGACATGCATACTTTGAGAGGCATCACTGCTAAGTCTTTGAGAGGTGTCTCTGGCAGACAGTTTGAGTACTTTTTGTCATGGTTCTGGCTCAGGTTACCCAGAGTTTCTTGGAGCTTTGAAGTTTTGAAGTTGTATTGATTTATTTCTTCTTTGTGATCCCCGGTTTGTTTGATGTTTATATTCACTTCATGTATTCTTGTATTTAGTTTTGCTCCTATAGTTTCTAAGTAGCTTCATCATTTCACTCTTCTTTGTCTCTCATATTTATGTGTCTGCATTTTCCCTATGTAGTTATTTTATTTCCTGTTTTATTTTGGAAGTTTGTGTTCCTTGTTTGTTGCTTTGAGTTGTTGCTTCCTATGTAGTTGCTGTCTGCCTCATTGTCCTTGTCAGAGCCTCAGTTCACTTCCCCCTAACATATCCCAGGTCCTGTGCTACATTTCCCTAGTATTTATTCCCAGTTTATGCTTCTGTAAGGAGACGTTTTTCTGTTGCTTTTTGTGTTTTGGTCTTTGTTTAGTCTGCACTACACATTCAGGACACTTTTTCTCTTTACCCGTTGCCTCACCAGATACTTGCTGTACAACTTCCCCGTCATATCAGCCATTGTGGGCGTCTCCAGCAACTTCACCTTCCTCGGTTTCATCTTCATCTTCAGCTACATGAGGCTGCTGTTTCAAGCGAAACCACAGCGGGTGAGAAGAGAGACCCATGACTGCCAACAGACAGGGCTCTAAACTTGAATTATCAGATTTTTCCTTCCTGGTCATGCTTACCTGTCACTGAGTTCCTTGTTGCCCACAGTTCAGAATGAGTTGGACAGAGGAGAACAACCAGCAAGGGGAGGAAAGAGCTGTCCCTGCAGGTACGTTATTATTTATGTTCATGCATGTTTAAACTAACTGGATCAGTTCAAGAGTGTGATTTACTGTCTTTGACTGCTGGAACAAATTCTTTGACAGGCACTGCAGAAATGCTGGGTCCCTTCCATCAAAACCCCACAGACGAGAGACAGGAGGAACCACATTCTCACGTTGGAAATGGCACAGAGCAGCAAGACAGAGATACAATTGGTCAGGGAGAAATAAACGAAACAGAAGCAGCCTGAGGCAACTGATAAAGGAGGAGGAAAATGTGCAGAGAACAAGGATGATAATGTGATGTAAAGATGAATATTTAAGGCCAATATCTGGTTGAAAATGATGAAGAAAATCAATTTTACATAAAAGCCGCAAAGAAACCCTGTCATTATGAGAAAAACATTTCTTGGGAATATGTTAGACTGAAAAAAATATGTATGGTTTTATTTGTTTGAGTATTTATAGGCACCACAAATAAGTCACTTGCAAATGTCTTTATAGTCAAAACAAAAAGACATTTGCTCTGATATAAAATAACACATAATTACAATGATCATAAATGTTGTAGTTGCTGGTTAACACTAATCATACAGACAAAGTCTGGAGACAAAGTAAGAGGGGTCGGGATGGTTTGGAGATGTGCAGAGGAGGAATAGTGGATATACTGGACAAAGATGGAGATGCCAAGCAGGAAGAAAAGAGAAAGATCTAGGAGGAGGTTTATGGATGTAGTGAATGGGTGCGTGCAGAGGGATAGTTTGAGGTGGAGGCAGATGATGCCCTGAGGCAACCTCCAAAGGTAGAGACTGAACGTGGCTGAAAGAAGAAAAAGAAGTTACCTACACAGCCATCACCCCTGTGTTTCAGTGGCATATTAATCCAAGATTTCTATGTTAATTTACACTTAGATAAAATCTTTTCCAAATACATCAGTGCAGCTGAAAGCTGCTTTTGGTTTTGGGAGGGGTTTTAAATACAAGTAATTCATTTAGCTGGTTGACTGCATGAAGCATTACCATTAAAAAAAAGACCTTTTTTTCAAACGGAGCATTCTTGTTCTAAGAAATGAGGACTATTTAATGTGAAAATCAAAATCAGTGATGCTTTTATACACTGGTGTTTGCTACTCCTTTCACATAACAGCCTGAACTGGTTCTAATCAGAATCGAAACAATGTGGGGAAACTCCAGCGGACAACTGAGTATGAGGACAAGTACGTTTAAAACAGAGCTCAAATTTTACAAACAAAAACTTCACAGATCAACTCAACGGATAACTTCTTTAAATCCACACATAAAACAGCAGAAACATCAGCAGCATGAAGCTGGGGGCCAGAAATGGCCCAAGACAGACTCAAACCCCAGCTCCTGCAGTAGCCTTTCAGAATATTGGTTGTTTGCTCAACACAGTGAGCCAAACGGTTACCCCACTGCAAGTCTTTTAAGCAATAGTTGCAAAAAAACAACAACAAAATGCCACACCGTGCCTCCTTAGCTTGGGACAATTACATCCATCAACACGCACTTATTGGAAAGTTTATTGGTTACACTTTGCTAGTTCCAGATTGGATCTCTTTTCAGAGCTGCCTTAATCCAACAAGATATCGTACACATCCTTCTGAGATTTTGTTCTTTACTGACATGCTAGCATCACACAGTTGCTGCACATCAGTGGTGTAAATCTCCCGTTCCAGCACATCCCCAATATACTTAATTGGATTGAGGTTTAGTCACTGTGGAGGCCATTTGAGTACAGTGAATTCATTGTTATGTCCAAGAAACTATTTTAAGATTATGTGATCTTTGTGATACGGCGTGCTATCCTGCTGGAAGCAATGATCAGAAGATGGGTATACTATGGTCACAAATGGGTCAATATGGTCAGCAACAATACTCTATAGGGTGTGGCATTTTAAGTAATGCTCAATTGTTACTAAGTTTCCCAACACGTGCCAAGAAAATATCCCCCACACCCCACCCTGAACTGTTGTTACAAGGCATAATAGATTTATGCTTTCATGTTGTTTATGCCAAATTCTGATAATAACTTCCAAATGCTGAAGCAGAAATCACCAGTGTGTGAACTTCAGCAGGTTGTGTTGACCATGCCTTACCGTGCATAATGAGTTGTTGCTATGTGATTGGCTGATTAGATAATTGTGAAAATGAGCAGTTGAGGCTTTCCTAACAAAGTAGTCAATGGGTTTATTTCAATGTAATATAACAATATACATGAAATTTATTCTACATAATAACTGTCTAGAATTTCTCTTTTCATTAAGCTGTGAAACGTTGGACTGTGGAGCTGTTTCTTTTGTTGTATGGTGAAAAGAAATTCTGAAAAACAACAAAGCAAAATTTGCATCTTTTTCTTATTACACAAATAATACTTTTTTTTTTTTTGCATTTATTCACTCGAATGCTGTGTAACTATTTAAATAAAACACTGTAAAACACATTCATTATTGGAGGGAGGACACCGTATTCCTGGATGTCCTCTTGCCAGTGGCACTCTTGGCCAAATTCCAGCAGCTGTCCCTGAATAAAGCTCTGGAAACTTAACAGCGTCACTGCATGCAAAATTTGGCACCAGCAGAGAGAATGAGAATGGGATGTGGCTCACTGACAGGCACACAGCTTTGTGTAACTGAAAACTTGCAGGTGGAGGACACGGGTTAGGTAAGTTAGATACATGTGAGCATTTAATGCTGCTTCTTTTTTTTTTTCCAATTTCTGTCATTTAAAAAAAAAATGTTGTCGTTCTCGTGATTTTTAGACTCTTTGAATGCATTTCCTCAAACGTGTTCAAAACTGTGCATCTGTTGTAAAGATTTTGCTGTCGTACAAGCACATGTTGGGCTCACATCCGACACAAAGATGGACACTACAGATGACAACCACACAGAGGGGATAAAGATGGAGATAGAGAATCAGCAAATTGTAGAGAATGACTGTTTTTCCACCTTATCGGATAAAACGCATCAACATCTGTTGATCAGTGAAAGGCCGTCGAGCAGCTGCAGGATGGTCAGATTAAGATCCAGACCCGGTCTCCAGTCAACAAAAAGCTTCCCCCCTTATAGTCAGTGCATAGGTGGACTGGGAGAGGACGAGGACGAGGATGATCAGGACAATTCAGACATGGCTTGCCAGTCAAACGCCACAAATGTGAAGGAAGACAAAACAGAAGAACTTCAAAGCACAGAACAAAACAAAGAGCTGACTACAAGATCTCCAAGGGACTGGCTAAAGGCAAAATGGAAACCTAGGAGGAAGGAGAGGTCGGGGGGAAGCTTTGAGGTCGACGCAGACAGCTGCGAGAGAGGAAGGTGGAGTGGGAAAAGAAGGGTGGAGGAGACTGAAAAAAAAGAGGAATTTGATGATGATGACGATGATGAAGGATGTGCAAATGCTGAGGGAAAACACTGGAGAGGTAGAAACTCCAGCTTTGAGAAAGTGAGGAAAGAAGAGGAGGAAGACGAAGATGGGAGATCGACTATTTCAGCAGTAGAAGGAGATCCAAAGAGCAGCAGGGAGACCCCAAAAAGGAATGATGAGGAGGAACTGCCAGGAGTGACAGAGGGGTCCACAACACAACAGTGGTCCTCCCCACATCCTATCCTCTCCAAGCTTCTGCACTCTTCCACCTCCTCCTCCTCTTCCCTCAACCTTTCCTCCGCAGAGAGCGACGAGGTCTTCAGTGAAGGAGAGGATGCTGGGTCAAAGAGGAAGACATTCAGGAAGGTGAGGATATCTGAGAACAACACATGATACACAGATGCAGCTTTAAAGTATGTTCTCATTTTTGGGGGGAGGGGGGTCCTGGCTGATACACTAGCATTGGCTCGTGTGTCTGGCTGCTCTGGTTTTCCATGGAAGTAAAGTAAAACCATGTTTCTCAACTGTTCTGTGCACCTGTGGTCCTACTGATTTGCATGGGCTTGAAAGAGGACTTTGACAAAGTCAGATTTGAATGGTGTTTGCATGCCTGGCTGCTGCTGCTGCTGCAGATATGAGAGTAAAGAGCGAACAGAGGGAGGATGATAGGAAGCGCGCTCTAAACACAGTGTGTTTGCATTGTCAGACTTGCTGGTTGACTGCATGAAGCATTACCATTAAAAGAAAAACCTGACAGTCGGCTGTAGCAGGCCTGAAGAGTTTACAAAAATTTTAAACCAGCATGGTAACGTTTAATATGGAAGTGTGTATGATTGGAAGAGCTTAAATATGATGTAATAGAGACATTTCCTCCAAACTGCAAGCCTGTCATTTTGTAACAGTGCACTACTGAACATGCTTGGCTCAGCTTCAGCTGCTTTTGGGTTTAGGTTTTTCATTGGCTACCTCTGTGTCTGTTAGAGACTGTTTTGTGTATATACAAAGTAGATCGTAACTGCTGAGGAATGTTCTGTTTGCTGGAGTGCATTTTTCAGAGTTTGTTAAGGCCACGTGACTACATGGCTCCCCGAAGTGGGAAATCAAAGAATTTTACGTAGTCATTTTATGCTTTTGTCAAAAGAAATGTACAAATGAACCATTTCCAAATTACAGAGAATTAAAGTTCAACGTGCGTCCATAGCTATGATTTCACTGTGAATGTTTTGACATTTCACGGCTGCAAACGTGCGTAAAAACACACATACTTGCCGCCACGCTGCCACGGCTTAAAACAAACCAGTTTCTGTTAATTTTATTAATGACATCTCTGTTTTTCCTACTGTGACAAAGCAAGTTTAGCCCTTCACACTAACAAACCGGCTTACCCTGCTTCTTTTTGCATGCATGCTGCTATTCCTGTTGTAGGTAAATTCGGCACTCTAAACTCCCTGCAGGTGTTTGTCTTTGTGCTTTACACATAGGTAACCTACCTATTAACAAAGAAATGGAAGGTATTCTCCACACCCTGAACTGGCCTTAGAGATAATAGTTGTTGGATAACTACTAGACAGGAATGCTCCTCTCACGTAACATGCTTTTCTTTTTATGCCTCAGTGCCGCTCCTGGAAAACCTTCCTGACCATGATGCACTGGTCTATGAGCCGGCAGAGCTCCTGGGTCCAGCTGGCTGGACATCAAGGCATGTGTGTTACAGTTTCTTCCACACAGACACGTGCAGGCTTTCAGAAATCAGCGTGAACACATTTCCAAATGATGCTAGCTATGATGCTGTCTAACACATTGATGTCTACATGATTGCAAAGCTTTCCAGGAGGACATTTTTGACTTGTAAATATGAACTGAAGTCACTATCGGATGTACTGTATGTCATCACCACTGCTTGCCGGCATTAACTCACATTGACTCATATGTAAATATCCATGTGACTGCACATTATCTCAGCTCTTCATGGACTTAGTCATTGTTTTAGTTTGTGTTTCAAAAGATTATTAGGACGTGGGCTAGTCATTGAACAGTGGATGGTTAAAACCAGGAGACAGTGAAGCTTAGTATTACCTTTACTGAGGTGTCAGTCTTGAAAAAGTTTACTATGCTGAACTTAGGCAATACCCATCACTCTGCTTCCTTCACTTATTGCCTTATTGATTGTATGGGAACAATAATTTCATCTCTTCATGATGTTTGCTGATGTCATCAGGTAACTTCCAGGTCAGTAAAGGAGGCGAGGTGCTGAAACTATACAGTGAAGTGGAAGCAAACTGCCTGGATTGCCTGATGAGAGACCCGCTGAGACCCTTTGTCCCACAGTATCATGGCTTGGTAACAAGAGGGGAGCTCTGCTATATCCGCCTGGAGGATCTGCTAAGTGGCCTGAAGAGGCCCGTCATCATGGACTGCAAGATGGGAGTCAGGTAAGGCGTCCCTCACAGGTGACTCATCAAGTCTTGATTACAGAATATTTAGCATTCGGCTACATGAAGGGCTTAGTGAGTTTTCTAGGAGAGAAAATGTCAAGATTTCAGATTTTATGAATAATACGCTACACTGGTTTTAATATATAGAAAGGGTATTTGGGAATAAATTGTTTATATCATGTTCTTGCTATGATGAGTAACATCTACTCACGGAAGGTTATTTTTATATCGAATCCCAAAAAAATGACAAAACATTAAAACGTCAACATCCAGTTTGTACCTGGTCCTGAGCTTCTGGTCATTAAGAGCGATCCCTGTCCGCAGACGGATACAGGAACTGTTGTTTTGAATGGTTCAGATACGTCTTTGTGTCCACAAGGAATGAATTAAGTCTTACCTTCAAAAACCTTAAAAGCTTATCAAAAATCTAATGAATTTCCATTATTAGGCTGTTTTACATTGCTAAATGCCTTAAGTGAGACCTCAGCATCTAAACATCACACTTTCTGCTCAGGGCCAGGAATTAAACCTCCCCTTGAATTTCACTCACTGTGGTATATCACACCATTACTTCCAGTCTGATATTGGTGTTTTTGTTTACAAAGTTTGAATGACCCCTTTGTCAAAATTAAATATCTACATTTTCTTTGCTAGAACCTACCAAGAGGATGAATTAGTCAAAGCTCGTGTCAAAGCTCCTCTGCGAAGCGACATGTACCAGAAGATGGTGAAAATGGACCCTTCTGCTCCGTCAGCAGAGGAACATGCACAGAGGGGAGTCACCAAATGGCGCTACCTTCAGTGGAGGGATTCAATCAGTTCTACGTCCACGCTGGGCTTCAGGATAGAGGGCATTATGGTAGGAGTGAAGGCCAGGGAAGGAACTGCACTGTTTATGTTTATTAAAACGATCCGTCTGATAAAGTATCTGTTTCTGTCTCTGTGAGTCAGATGGAGGATGGTAGCATCCAGCGGGACTTCAGAAAGATTCAGACTTTAGCTCAGGTCACTGAGGCACTGCTTTACTTCACCAGGAGCCAGCTGGACACTCTGGTCAGTTCTGCTAACATGTAAAACTTGTCCTTTAGAAAACGCACCTGAAATCATGTCATAGTGAGAAAAAAATTGTTTGACAACAGAAAACAGAACTGGCAACTTCAAAACTGATAATGAATGCAATCCTTAATGAGCAAGCAAGTGGAAAAAGTGGGGATAAAGAAACCCTCAAGTGGAGACCTGGTGAGGACTTACATCTGCTGTGACCTGTCAGGGTGGTAGGGAAAAGTGTAGAGAAGTGCAAAGTTCTTGCAGTGTATACCTAAAGACACTTACCAGACCAAACTATTTTGAAAGAATAATCCAACACCAACCACTTTACAAAATGATCAGAAAATGTAAAATTACTTTTGGATTTTCTGCTCATTCACATCTCTCATTCTTAATTTTTGGAGAAAGCAGACCTGCATTTTCTGGCAGAGCTGTGACCATATTAAAGGCAT